AAAGCTAGAGAGGATGTAAAGAAATAAAAACTCCCAACTACTAGTTGGAACATGAAACAGTATAGCACTTTGGGAAGCTGTGTGGCAGTATTTAGTAAAATATAACATATATGCACCCACTGCAATAAGACTTCCAATTAAAATGTGGCTAAATGTGAACTTACCTTTGATCCCCCTGGAAACTTCATTATGATCACAGCAAAGGGAATGAAAAGACAAGAATAAAAGATCAAGGAAATGGAAGAGGGCAGGGCAGATGAAGAGAGATGTCCACAAAATTTTGGGTAAGGTAAACTAAACGAACAAATGGTAACTGAGTCAACAAAATAGAGACAATTAAAATGTTGGCCTAGTAGCAGGAAATTCAACAAGAAACAAGCTGAATCCCAAGACACAAATCTGGAAAGGGTTGGAAACTGGAGTCACTATTTATCCTTAAAGGCTGGTAAAGGGAAAGAGTAAAAAGAGAAGTGTTCATTGACAGTCATAAGAATCTGTTATAATCAACCCATCCCTCCCCCAGGAACAAGAGATTTGTTTATCCAGAGTACCATCCCCCCACAGCCCTGGTGAAGAATAAACCTCCAGGAAATATTTTGAATTAGGCATGTAAGATACAGCAGAAAACAGAAGGTAAGTACTGTGCTGGAAAATGGGGTTTAGGTGAAAGTTTAATTCCAAGTGTTTAGAAGCACAATCCCTCCTAAACACTTGGTTCCCAGGAGGAGCTGATAGAACTATAGCCCTAAGCAAGAGAACAGAGTGATTATGCTACAAATACCGATGTGTGCTGCCTCCCCCAAAAAAGAGCCAGACCCCCACTCTTTCACACTGCACTGAAGCCCAGCACTGCATACAAGTGTCAATCTGCAGGTTTGTGTCTCACTCTTAAATAGGAATAGTCAAGAGCTTGGAGGAAAGCTTCTTAATAAGAAAGACATTTTTTAAAAAGCTAGAAACCAGAAAAAGAAAAGAACTCAAGGGAGATATAATATGAGATGCTGAAGAAAACGACTAAGAGAAATATAGTTAATATCATCAGTGAAATAAGACATTGAAGCTATGAAATATGAATAGAATGTTATTTATATAAATATTCAGAAGTAAAAATTGAGAGAATTGAAAACAAAAAATAGACAAAACCATAATCCCAGTTGGAAATTTTAACATACAACTCTCAGAAACTGATAAAGTAAGCAAGCAAAAATGAATAACGATATAGAAAAATTTAACACCACTAGCAACCAACCAGACCTAATTGGCATTTACAGACTAGTTCACAAAACAAATACAACCATATGTCTGAGATATTGCAGGTTTAGTTCCTGACCACCACAATAAAGTGAATATCACAATAAAGCCAGTAATATGATTTTTTTGTTTCCCAGTGAATATATTTAATAGAAGTTATGTTTATACTATATTATAGTCTAAGTGTGCAATAGTATTAAAGCTAAAAAATAATGCATACAACTTAATTAAAAATTACTTTATTGCAAAAAATGCTAATGATCATGGGAAACTTCAATGAGTCATAACGTTTTTGCTGATGTAGGGTCTTGCCTCAATGTTGATGGCTGCTGACTGATCAGGGTGGTGGTTGTACAGGTAGCTGTGGCAATTTCTTAAAATAAGACAACAGTGAAGTTTGCCACATCAACTGATTTTTCCTTTCACAAGAGATTTCTCTGTAGCATGCAATGCCATTTGATAGTATTTTACAGAGAGTAGAACATCTTTCAAAGTCGGAGTCAAATCTCTCAACCCCTGCCACTGCTTCATCAACTAGGTGTATGTGATATTCTGCATGCTTTGTTGTTATTTCAACAATGTTCACAGTATCTTCACCAGGACTAGTGTCCATTTCATGAAACGACTTTCCTTGCTCATCCACAAGAAGCAACTCCTCCTTTGTTCAAGTTCCCTGGTAAGATTACAGCAATTCAGTCTCACCTTCAGGCTCCACTTCTAATTCTAGAGTTTTTTGCTTTTTCCATCACACTGTTACTTTCTCCACTCTTGAACTCTTCAAAGTAATCCAACTGGGTTGGACTCAACTTCCTCCAGCTCCTAATAATGTTGATATTTTTACCTCTTCCCATAAATCATGGATGTTCTTAATGGCACCAAGAATGGTGGATCCTTTCCAGAAGGTTTTCAATTAATTTTGCCCAGATTCTTTAGGAGAATCACTATCTATGGCCCTGATAGCCTTGTGAAATGTATTTCTTATATAGTAATTTTGAAAGTCAGAAGAAAGGAAATAATAAAGATTAGATCAGAGATAAATGAAATTGAGGCTAGAAAAACAACAGAAAAAATTTTTTAATCATTTTTTTAAAAAAGATTAACAAAGTTGGCAAACTTTTAGCTGTACAAGCTAACAAGAAAAGAGAAAAGTCTCACGTAACTAAAATTAGAAACGAAAGAGGGGATATTAAGCTGATGTCATAGAAGCAACAAGGATTACACAGGGGACAGTGGCTCATGTCTGCAGCTTGTAGTCCCAGATACTCTGGAGGCTAAGGTGGGAGAACTGCTTTAACCCAGGAAGAGCCCAGCCTGGACAATAAGAATGAGACCCCTTGTCTAGAAAAAAAAGGATTATAAGAGACTACTATGAACAATTTTATGTCAACAACTTGAATAACCCAAAAGAAATGGATATGTTACAAGGAACATACAATACTGAATCATGAAGAAATAAAAAAATATGGATTAGATGTATAACTAGTAAGTAGATTAAAGAACTCATCAAAAACCTCTCAATAAAGAAAAGCCCAGGACCAGACATTTTCACTGGAGAATTCTACCAAACGTTTAAAGAAGAATTAACACTAATCCTCCTTGGACTCTAAAAGAGGTGGGAATACTTGTAATCTCTTCTCTGAGGCCAGCATTACCCTGATAGCAAAACTAGACAAAGACACAAGTGAACTACAGTCCAATATCCCTAATGAATATCAATGCAAAAATCCTCAGGAGACTACTAGTAAAATTAATTCAATAGCACATTGAAAGGATTATATACCATGACCAACTGGATTTATACTTAGAATGCAAGGATTGTTCAACATATGGAATTCAATCAATGTGAATAACAGAATGAAGGATAAAAACCTCGTTATTATCTCCACTGATACAAAAAAAAATCATTTGACAAAATGCAGCATAGTTTCATGATAAAAACACTCAACAGACTAGGAGTAGAAGGAAACTACCTCAATATGTTAATATTAAAATCCATATATGAAAAGCCCACAACTAACATCATACTCAACTCAGAAAGACTAAAAAGGTTTTCCTCTAACATCAGCAACAAGGCAAGGATGCCCACTCTCACCATTAGTATTGTTCAATCTAGTAATGGAAGTCCTAGTCAGAGTACTTAGACAATAGTAATTAGACATGAAAAAAGCACCCAAATTGGAAAGGAAGAAGTAAAATTGTCTCTGTTTGCAGATGATATGATCTTAGACGAGAAAACTCTAAAGATTCCACAAAAGAACTGTTAAAACTAATAAAAAACTTCAGTAAATTTGCAGGATATAAAATTAACACACAAAATCAGTTGTGTTTCTATATACTAATAATAAACAACTAGAAAAAATTAAGAAAATAATCTAATTTATAATAGCATCATAAAAAATAAAATACTTAGGAATAAACTTAAATAAGGAGGCAAAAAACTTGTACACTGAAAACTACAAAATATTGCTAAAAGAAATCAAAGAAGACATAAATAAATAGAAAGATAACCTGTGTTTGTGGATTGAAACATTTAATATTGTTAAAATGTTCATACTACCCAAAGCAATCTACTGATTCAATGCAATCCTTACCAAAATTCTAATAATATTTTTTATAGTAATAGGGAAAAAAATCCTAAAATTCCTATGAAATCTCAAGCAACCCTATATAGGCAAAACAATTTTGAAAAAGAACAAGTTGTGCCTCACACTTCCTGATTTCAAAATCTACCATAAAGTAACAGTAATTAAGATAGTATGGTATTGGCATAAAGATGACATATAGGCCAATGAAATAGAATATAGAGCCCAAAAATAAAGCCTTGCATATATGACCAAATGATCTTCAAGAAGGTGCCAAGGCTACACGATAGGAAAAGAACAGTCCTCCCAGTAGATGGCTTTGGGAAAACTGTACATCCACATTTAAAAGAATGAAATTGGACCCTTACCTTACACCATATTCAAAAATATAACCTGATTTAAAATGGGCAGACATCAATACAAAAGTGGATTAATAAAATGTGGTATATGTATACCATGGAGTACTATTCAGCTATAAGAAACAATGGTGATATAGCACCTCTTGTATTTTCCTTGATAGAACTGGAACCCATTATACTAAGTAAAATATCCCAAGAATGGAAAAATAAGCAGCACATGTACTCACCATCAAATTGGTTTCACTGATCAACACCTAAGTGCACATATACGAATAATATTTATTGGGCATCGGGCAAATGGGAGGAGGAGGAGAGGATGGGTATATACATACATAATGAGTGTGACATGCACCACACTTCAAGCTCTGACTGGGGGGGGGAAGGGCAATATACATAACCTAAACATTTCTATCCCCATAATATGCTGAAATAAAAAAAAAATACAAATAAAATTTCAAAGAGAGTTTGTACTCCATGTTCATTGCAGCATTATTACCAACAGCCAAGAAGTGGGGGCACCCTAAATGGAATTTGATGAATGAATAAGTAAAGAAAATTTGTTATACACATACAACGGAATGTTGTTCAGCCTTTGTTTCTTCAGAAATGAAGGAAATACTGTTATACTCTACAAGCCATCTGCAACCTTTTTGGCATCAGGGATTAGTTTCATGGAAGACAATTTTTCCATGGACCGGTGGGGTAGGGGGGGTGGTTTCAGGATGATTCAAGCACATTACATTTGTTGTGCACTTCATTTCTATTATTATTACATTGTAATATATAATGAAATAATTATACAACTCACCATAATGCAGAGTCAGTGGGAGTCCTGAGCTTATTCTTGCAATTAGATGGTTCCATCTAGGAGGGATGAGAGGCAGTCACACCTGAAGCATGTTGCTTATGTCCAGTCTACTCCATAATCTTGTTTTGGTTGCTGCCACTGCAGAAAACTCTGCTTCACTAAGATAGAATATTGGAAATATTCAGTGCTTTTGTGGCAATCTCAGGATATTGTGCCTTGACTTTAATCCAGAAGGTATGGAGATTTGAGGTTGTCTCAAAAACACTTTTAAGCCCACTGTCATTTGCGATCTCAAGTAGTTAATCCTCTTCTAGCACGGACAAAGTTGATTCACCTGGCTTAGTCACAAATAGGTTGCAGATCCATTACTTAACAGTTCAAGGGTCTGTTGTGGTTGGGAGGTAATGCTCAAACTTTTTTGAAAGCTGAGATAGGTGATCATGCACCATCTGGGAGAAAGAAGGCCCTGGTTCAGTCTCTTTCAAAATCTCTGCAAATGTTTGAAACATGTCAAAAATCCCCATGTTCACCTGCCACCCTCATAATTCCAGTTTGGCTTTGAATGTAGCCACTTTATATGCCAGCTTGAAAACAGTTGTCATTCTTCCTCGAAGTGACAGATTGTGTTCACTGGAGCAGGTTGAATACTTCACACAAGTAAGCAGGTTTTGCAACCCATTCTCTGTCACTTAAATGTGCTGCCAGTGGTGACTGTTCTACTAAAAGAAATCTCTGAGGTGGCTCTCATAACTCATAACTCATACCTCACTCTTGGCAGATGGATCTACCTTCAGAAGACCATCCCACTTCTGTACATAAGAGAAGACGTGTGTGCTCTGCATCCATCTCCTCACAGAGTTGTGTGAACAGACATGAGATAAAGGCATGTGGTTGAAACTTTTAATCACATCCTGCAAAACATTCTTTAGTTCAGGTGACATTTTTTAGCTAACCAGAATTTCTCCACAGATTACACAGTGTGTAGACTCATGTTTAGAAGCCACCTTCTTGACCCAAGTAGAGAAACCAGAAAGCCATCCAGTCATAGCAGCTGCTCTGGCTGTGCATATACTGACACAAAATGACCAATTCAGTTTTCAAAGACTTGAACAGTTCTGCAGCTGTGGTGTTGGTTGGCAACAAAAGTACACAAAACACATCCTCATTCTCATCCTCCTGAAAAATATGTCACACAAAAACAAGCACCATTGCCTTGTTGTCAACACTGGCAGACTCATCAACCTGGATTGTGTATCTCAATGACTCATTGATCCCTTCAACAATCATGCCTCAATGTCCTCTGCTATTTCATCAATTCATCTAGTTACGGTGCTAGCCAAAAGAGAAACACGCGCCACCATTTGAACTGCAGCCTCTCCTAAAAGTTGACAGCAAATGTCCTCAGCAGCAGGCAGGATAAACTCTTTATCAATAGTAAAGGCCTTCTTACCTTATCAATGTGGTTAGCCACTAAGAATGATGCTCTCAGTGCAGACACATTTGATACAGTGGTGGCCTTCAATAATTAATTGTTTCTGTTCTTCGTGTTCATGGTTTTTTTCTTTTGAAAAACAGGAAAGGCCTGTCTTTTAATGCAGCGTGCTTGGTCTCCAGTGGCGAAGTAGTTTTAAAGGTTTCATGGCTTCATTGGATAACCAGTTGCCATATATTATACAAAGCAGGCTTGGAAAATGTGAATAACCTGTTGCAATAAACCCATGATTTAAGTAGGTCTCTTGGTATTTTCTTTCAAATGCAGCTTTCATTTTGTTGCCTTAGAGTCTTCTGCTGTCTCATCATTGGGTCTTTACCTCTTTTTAAAGTTCTCCAGTGATTTTTTTTTTTCTCATTTTTGCTCAGGTTAGCTTGTGGGCTTACCAAAACTGTGACTGAGACAAGTGCCCAGTGCAGGAAAGAGGCACGGATGGAAGTGGTAAATAAAATAATCGGTGGGCCTCGCACGGACTAAAATAAGTATCAGATTCTGACTTAAAGCCTGCCACCAGATGCAGCTGCACAATTGAAGTACATCAACTTACTTGCCACTATAAAACCTGCTACCAGATGCAGCTTAATTGTCACTTGCCACTCACTGACAGAGTTTTGATATGAGTCTGCAAGCAACTGATTTATTATTGTGTCTGTGCAGTCAAACCTATCTGCTAATGATAATCTGTATTTGCAGCCTCTCCCCAGTGTGAGCATCACCACCTCAGCTCTACCTCCGTCGCACTCCTATGAGAATCTAAAGTCCTTGCTGATCTGACCTAACAGGAGGAGGAGCTCAGGTGGTGTTGCAAACAATGGGGCGTGGCTGTAAATACAGGTGAAGCTTTGTAGGCTAGCTTCCCTGCCATTCACCTCCTGCTATGTGGCCTGGTTCCTAACAGGCCACTGACCAGTACTGCTTTGTGGCCTGGGGCTTGAGGACCACAGCTCTACAACATGCATGAACCGTGAGGACATTATGCTAGGGATATAAGTCAGTCACAAAAAGACAAACGCTGTATGATTTCACTTATATGAGGCATCTAAAGTAGTCAAACTCATAAAAACAGAAAGTAGAATGTTTTTACCAGGGACTTGAGGGGAGGATAAAATGGAAAGTTGTAGTTTCATGTGTATAGAGTTTCTGATTTACAAGGTGAAACAATTCTAGAGATTTGTTGTGCAATGACTTACATATAGTTAACACTATTGTTGAGATGGTAAATTTTATGTTATATGCTTTTTACCAAAAATAAAAAAAAATTATCAATATATATATTATATATATAAAATAAGCAATATATAAAAAATGGTATCTCATGACCAAGTAGGATTTATCCTAGGAATGCTATGTTGCTTTAACATTGGAAAATCAATGTATTTCACCACATCAAATTGAATGAGAAAAATTATTTGATCATCACAACAGATGCAGAAAAATTGTATGAAAACAATTTATCACCATTATAGTATACTACTAGTAAACTAGGAATAGAAGGAAATTTACTCAGTCTGATTAAGGGGATCTACAAAAACCCTTCAACTATTATGACATTTACTGGTGAAATACTGAACACTAAAATGGAACAGATTGACTGGAGTCTACAGTCCATTTATCCCTGTTACCTGGGAGAAGCTCCTGGAAAAGACAGAAGACAGGTGACCTGATCTGACCGCTTGTAAACATGCAAAGACAAACCTCCTGGCAAAGAAGCCAGTGGTATTTGCTAGGAGGCGAATCTTTATGGAATATGGATTTCATTTAAAAATCTAATAAATTGGATTTAATCAAAATGTAAACCTTCTGCTCTTCAAAAGAGCCTATTAAGAAAAATAAGTGGCAAGCCCCAAAATGGGAGAAAATATTGATTCTACACATATTTGATGTGTATTTTATATCTAGAAACTTAAAAGAACTTCTACAAATCCATTATAAAAAAATAAACACTTCATAAGATAAGCCATGTAAATGGCCAAGAAGCATATAAAAACATGCTCCAGATCATTAGTCATCAGGGAAATAGAAACAGCTGAATATGTTGCCTCTGGAGAGCCAAAACAGAGAAAAGAGATGAGGAAAAAGAAAGGAAGAAAAGTGACTGTCATTGTCCATACCACAATAATACTTTGGGGTACTATATGCCTTTCCAAAACTAGGTGTGTGTGTGTGTGCGTGTGTATGTACATGTGTGTATCTTTTTATTTTTTATTTTATTTTTTATATATAACATTCATTGTTCGAACTCCTGACCTAGAGCAATCCGCCCGCCTGGGCCTCCCAGAGTGCTAGGATTACAGGCATGAGCCACCGCGCCCGGCCTATAACATTCATTTTTATTTAACACCTACCTTCATTAGATGTTCAGTGAAAAGAGGTTCGCTATAAGCTACAGATAGGTGGGGTGTGTATATCTTTTTAAAGCAAAAGTTACATTTTAAAAATGAGTGTGCCCTAGGAAGCCGATATATCGATCTGTGTCTTGTAGGAAATAGAATTTACCCCAAATGTTTGAGAGACGAGTCCCTGATGAAGACACTACTTAGTGAACTTTGGCCAGGATGAAGGAACCAAACAAGGGATGGTGAGGTGCCCAGAAACCAGGAATAGTGGGAAGCTGTTGCCATAGTTAGAGATGATTGGACAAGGAGAGGAAGTAGAGACAGAGGTGCCAGAGTCCAATCAGAGCTGGGATAGGGCATGGGAGCTGAGCGATGGAGCTGCAGTCACAGAGGGACAGAGCTACTGCCTAACACAGGGCATTGAAACAAAGAGATGAAAGAGAAATTGAGGAGGAAGCTCATACCTCTCCTTTCTGCCCTCTAATCTGCCAGAGTCTCCCCCCAGTTAAACTCAACCGGAAGGCAGCAGGCGGTGCAGTCCACGGGGATCAGCACCCCAGGGCAGAACAGACACATTAGGATGGAGATTGGATTAGAGAGAGCAAGTGGAGAATAACAACCAGTAAACCCAGCAATTAGGAAGGGGATGGACCTCCTTGTAAGGCCACTATTCAGCCTACTGCAGCTATATAATCTTTTTAAACGTCCAGTGTGCTCACTTTCTAAAGCAGCCAAGATAGAGAGCACCATGAAATCGCAGAACTGGAAAGCATTTTACCTTCTCTAGCTGCAGGAAATTTCCATCTGAACATCTTGTGGGCCTATAAATATGTCTACAAATCAGAACTGACCATTTTTTTGTGTCCATCAGACTAGTTCTGTCATCAACTCTGCACTCCCCATCTCAGGAAATGGTTCAAAGATCTATCCACCGATGCAAGGCAGAAACATAAGAGTCATCCTAAACTCTTTCCTCTGCCTCATGCCCCACTCCCACCCCCATTTCAGACTAATCATCAAGTGCTGCTCTAAAAATTTCTAGAATCTGTTTCCTCCTTGCCATCATCAAGTTTACATCCTCATCTCTTCTAATGGTAGCCTTGCCTCTATTATCTCTCAATTCCAATACATCTTCTAAAGATCCATAAAGGAATATTCCTCACAGCAGAGTTCAAACACGAGGTAACTGGAAATACCTTAAACATCTGGGAATAGACAGGCATACATGTGGTATAGTCATAAAATGGAATCTCACGCAGCATTGAAATGGATGAACTAAAATTATGAGCCTCAAAATAGAGAGAGGTTAAAAATATGATGTCGAGTCAAAAACAGGTTGCAGAATATGCATGCATTATAATTATACGTAGATTGATAGATACAATCATATATTATACATTGCATTATATTACATTATCAATGATAATATATATACATATGAGTATAAAGTTAAACACATAAAACATAACTATTATTTAAGGATAATACATATGTAGTAAAAATACACACTCATCAAAATGATCATCAAAAAATTCAGTATAATGTTTTTTCTCTAAGGAGAGAAGGAGGAAAATGTACTATAAGAGAAGAACAGGTGACTTGAGAAGGATCATTAATGTTTATGTTTTATTTTGGAAAAGGAGGAGGAGATAATGAAGCAAGTATGTTAAGACATTAGAATCCCCTATAGCTGAGCAAAGCATATGTGGATGTTTGTTAAATATTCTGACAATATTTTAAAGTATCTCATGATATGAAAGGAAATGGAATGCCCCAAGAAGAAAGAAATTCACATGCTGATTTTGGGGATCTCCTAGTGTATATAAAGGCTCTGACCCAATCAACCAAAAGCAAACTTGCTAGTCATCAGGCCCTGCTATGTACCCCACTCTTCCCATCGGCTTTTAATGACCTCACTATCATCCACAGAAGATAAGCAAGAATCACTAGACATTTGAGGAAAACCTCCCCTTTGAAAGCAAGAGAACAGGTGGTCTCAGAAAAAAGAAATGAACTCTTAGGAAAAATTCTAATTAGAATCCTCGGAGAAATGAGAAGATACATTGCATCCATAATGTACATGATTCTATAGAACAGGGATAACCAGAAGACAATGAAATACAGGGTCTTGGAAATTATATAAATCTTGGAAGATAAAGTCAAGGAACTCTTCCAGAAAGTAAATAGGGGAAAAAAAGTTAAAAAATATGAGCAAAGAGATTAAGTGACATAGAATATCAATCCAGAAGTTCCAATGTCTGAATAATAATGTAGTTGTAAAGATGAGGACAATGATGATAGGAACAGATAGTGTAAGAAAAACAAGAATCAAAAAAATTACCAAAAACAAATTCCAGAATTCAAAGTCTCTAGATTGAAAGGTTACATTCATTGCAATAAATATATATTTAAACATAAATATATATTTATATATATGTATATATATACATATATATATATATCTCCACATCTAGATACAGCATCACAAATGATAAAGAGAAAAATCTAAAAGTTCCAGAGAGAAGGAGGGATAATAGTTTACTTATAAAGGCAAGGGAAACTGGCACCAGAATTTTCATTCATACTGAGCCAAGAAGACAACACAG